TGCAGATTACAAAACACCGATAAGAGAGCGCGCAAACGAATTGGCCACAAATTGGTGGGCCTGTTTTTTTTTTTGGACGCACTCTCCGATGACAAAGAGCTTTTTACGCGGCCGATTTGAGGCGAGGAAACGGGAATTAAACGACAGACCCGGCGGCTTAATGCGATGCGTAAGAGGACTAATGCGCAGAGATTTGTCGAACGTCGTCACGTAGTCCTCCGTACGCACTCAAGTGCGCAGCGAAACAAGTTAATTAAGAGGACCACCCACGGTAGTATTTTCGTTCCTCGACGAGATAGGCGACATGCCAAGTCGGTACTCGAGAGTCGATTTTCCGCTTTCCTATCGTCTTCAAACGCCTCAGCGCCGACACCTCTCGGAATCGAGCATTGATTTCCTTATCTTGCCGTTGTAAGAAAGTTACAAAGTACATTTTCATTTCGATTGCAGCTGATTAATTTGACAGATAAATAGAACGATTCGCATTTATTAGATTTCTCGGGAAAATGAGAAACGGAGTGAAGAGACGTCTTGCGGAATGTAGCTCTCGCGAATATAATTTCAACTGTATAGATATCGTGTACGTGGAAACAGCATTCTTCTTTTTATCAATCAACTCACATAAACTGTCTTACTTGTTTTCGTTTGGTGCATTAATCGACTGATAAACAACGTTTTATTAGTATTAAATGGGGAAGATAGGAATGCGGAATACCAGACATAATTTGTAAAAACAACACCTTCTACAAAACAGCAGATATTCCGTATGCACGCCGTAATTATACGGAGCGCCATACAATAATCACGTCCAAAATTAATATTTCCACTGAGTGAGGCAGTCAGAACCACATCTCTTACAAATTTCTTCTTTATTATTTCATATTCTATCTTCGCTATTACGTCTTCCTACCTTCTCTATTATTCTTCGCTATGCATCTGTGAGCGCACAATGCAATTTCAAGCTTGACCTGAACTTCACGGAGAATAGTCTCGCGCTAACTTTGTCAAGCTCTGCCCAATTACATAACCGACAAGAACTCCGGTGTGACCGGTGAACCAGCGCGGTTTAGAGTCCGTAATAGAACTTAATACCGTATTTTACGAGCTCGTAAAACATACGATTACGGTCCCCGATGGGCCTTCGTCGCTGCTATTCGCACGTCCCGCAGCCGGTACAATTGGTAGCGAATCAAACATTGTTTCCTGTAAACGTGCCTGCCACTCTTTCGCGCCACCGTCGGAGAATGTCCACTCGATCACAGATTCAAAGTTACTTTTCACAATGCAAAGATTTTCAGCCAAATACAATCGTTTATCTCCATTTCCAACATTATCCTCTCATGCAGATTAAATCTTGAATTCAATTTCAAAATTCACTTGACTTTATAGTAAATAACGAAAACTCTTGACATCCATTAAAGTAGATTCACTGTAGCAACAATATATCCATCCCGTTTCGCTTACACCGTTTAGTTGTAATCCCACCGTTTCCCTATTCGAGTTACGACGTTAATACGTCGAACTAACAACTTTCGCGACAGAACAATGACTGCGGAACGGGTTCTCATTATACTGAGACTAGATTAGCACGGCAGTTCATTAAGTTTGCGAGCTATGTAGGATCCGGGACGATAAATATTTACGTACTGCCGAATGTGGGTTACGTTTGCATATCGCACCCGCGGAAGGATATTAAGAGCCGCTGCGAATACTATGGATCGAGAGCGACGTGGATACTACGCCGTCCTGCGATAAGGCACTTGCTTCCTACTCACGCATCACGAGTCTTCCGCCTTTATCGTCTTGCCTTTTGGCCATCAGCTCCCGCATTGGCTCGTGCCACAAACCCACGTCCGTTTGTCCGTCCATTATATTCGTTTAAATATTCGTTACTCCCTGCGTTCCCAAACGTATCAAATTCCCGTCATCGGAGACCCATTTTGTCCTTCCATTATTCCTGGTGACTCTGTGTTTGTACGTGGCGAAGCATCTCTCGATCGGAAATTTATATCTCTCTCAACTGTCACAGTGCCCTCGTTCTCTGCCGTTTCTTCATACGCGAAACGAAGTTTATTAGCCAACAAACGTTAGTTCTACTTTATAAGCCATCAAGATTAAATCCACACCTATTCCACATCTGTCACGGGAAATACGAATATCTGGAGTGCTATCGACTGAAAGCTTGAAAGGAATTTGGAAAGAATTTGGAAGGAGGTTGGCAGAGTAAATCGACTGAAAAGCTACAGGATACATTCGGAATTCAATATACTTAGATCAACGCGAGAGACAAGCTCCGAGAAATGATCGATGACGACATAATTATTAATCATTCAGTACTTATCGCTAGCAATATCTCTTATCGTGTAGGAGAATGAATGGTTTGAATGCAAACGCCGATCGATCCAACGAGCAGATATGAAGAAAACTCGAGGGCGAGGAGATATACGAGCGGTAGAAACTATTTCTATGACAGAGAGAATCTCGCCCTCTCCTCTCTCCAATACTTATTCGAGTGCTTATTCAGATTCAATTCCGATCGGACGATGAGCGCGCCCGGTGAGTTTTCGAGAGCAGCCCCGACGCTCGGTGAGGCCGCGTGGCGCGCGCAACCGAGAGATATTCGCATAAGAATAAAGGCTCGACCGTCCGGAGATGCCGAGAATTCCCAGAATCCCATCTCCGTATTTCCTCGCCGGCGTTCACGTAACATCTGTATATTTGCGCTCTCGCGTTTCCCGTGTATCGCGCGATATATCCCGACGCGAGCGTGCCGAAATAGGGAAACGAGAGACACGGATCGAATGAATACCCCGCGAATCATTATTATTTCGCGCATGTTGTAATATGCATTCGCGGCTCTCCCGCACATTCGCGGGAGGATCCTAACTGATTTGCCTCAGTAACCTCGGCGCACTCCACATCGGAGTTTCCTAATTCACGGAGCACGAGCGAGGATAGGATCTCTGCATTGTACGAGCAGTTGAATTATTATCTCCGTTACATCTCGCGCGCGGCAAAGAGCGTACCGAGTTCTATACCGCAACTCCACGTTTCATACCGTATTTAAAGAGTATTAGCCTAAGGCCCCTGTACTCGACACCGTGATTTTCATGTTTCACCGCCGACGAAAACTACTCGCACCTTCGATTCGACACGGCTGCAGAGAGAAGAAAGAGAGAGAGAGAGAGAGAACACGGCGATGCGACGCATTCTTTCCTCCGCCGACTGCCGCATTCGGCAAATGAATGGCTTACCTCGCGTACGATCGTTTATTCATGCGTCGCTTATAAATGAATCATCGCGCATTTGCTCGCGACTCGGATGGTCGACTCTCACTTCAATGACAATTACGTTCGCTTTCCGCTCGCCTTGACAACCAGGGAGGCCTCCCCAAGGACGTCTTAGGCGGACGTCTCTCCTCGTGACATCCACTAACTTCATCCTCCCGCTGCTCCACTTTACACTCCGTTCTATTTCCTCCTTTTTAAGCACCGGGCTATTCAGCAGAAATCAATTCTCAACTTTTCGCGAGTTGCCCCCCACGTCGCTCTATAAATGCTTTAGAAACTTTGCATAGATCCTCGAATAAGCTAGTTTTCAGTTCTAGACCATTTTCTTTTGTGAAATACAAGACGCGGATATTGACGTTATTATTGCCCGGTGCATCTCAACTTGTTTATTGTACCTCGATAATATTCCAATTACATTCATCCAATGTTATTCTCAATCTTAAAATGTGGTCTCTGTTACAATTTAAAATATATTAACTAAAAATTGCTAAGGAAGAAAGCATTTAATTTAATTACTATGCAAAACTCCACTTCCGAGTCTGCGAGCTCGGCAAAATTGC